AGCCAGAGTTGTCAGCGCATTAAGAGAGCAAGGGGCTGGTGAGGGGCATGCAAGCCAAATCCAAATGAGCGCACGCTTGGGTCCCGCTGAGGTCACTGTGCAGCAGCAGAAGCAGCAGTTGTTGTTGTTGCTGCTGCAGGCGGCGCACTATGCTGCAGGTTTACACCGAAGAGGGAGAGTGAGGGAGTGAGAAAGGGAGCTCGTGAGCAGCACGCGTTGCTATCAAAACAATGAAGAATAATTAAAATTCGCCCTCAAACAATTTGTAAGCGCGGCGGAAGTAGCTGCGAGACAACGACAACGATGAGCTGGCGACCAACAGCCAAAGGCCAGCCTTTGCCCGACACAACTGCGAGTTGGACACGAGGGCCAGCCACATGCTCATAAATAAATTTATGTTTGCTGAAATATTGGGCGTTGCTGCAACTCGTTGCTCCGTACTGTCCCACGCCCTTTTTTTGGTGGGCATAAATTGCCAGTTGCCATGTCTGACAGCCTGGTGCATTGGCCCTGTCAAGGCAGCAAATAACGTGTTTTTGCATAACCCTGAAAATCCGTTTCCGAGTTCTCCATAGATCTTTTGGCTGATTTCTGTTGCACTTTGTGTTACCTTTAAAAACTGTCTAATTTGAGCTATAAACGGGGTGGATCTCTCAGATATATGCTGAACTAAAGATGTTTCAATTTCTATTACAATCCAATTACAATCTCAAAGTGCACCAGAGCAGAATGCATTTTGTAACTTTTGCAGAACCCTTAACTTATTTGACCACCTCGTAGATACTTTTGCTCGCGATACTTTCCAAAATAGTGCCCGGTTATTACGCAACACTTTCATAGGGTTAACCCTGCGTTCAATTTTAAAAATTCATTAAAAATTGAGAAATGACTAAATTGAGCTGAAGAGGTTTCAATTCCTATTAAAATCTACAAACTTCGCTCAAAGTGCAGCTGAACCAAACGCACTTTGTCACTTTTGCAGAACACTTAACTTACTGGTAGACACTTTTGCTCGTAATACTTTCCGTAATAATGCCCTATAATTACGCAACACTTTGATAGGGTTAACCTTTGATTTAATTTAACAAATTCAATAAAAGTTGAGCGCGCATACAAAAGAGCTCGGGAACCATAAGAAACGAAAAAAAAAAAAAACAAAATGCGGTGCACAGTTGAAAAAGTTGTCGTGCAGGACAAAAGTCTGGCGACATCCTTTGAAGCACGCAAATAATCCCGCAAAACCGAGCGCTTAACTTTTCTTTCTTTTTTTTTCATCCAACATTTATGCGGGACAACAGCATTGCTTTTTGCCCGCACTGGGCCGCCAGCGCCCCCTACTGTGTCCACACAATTATTATGTATCAAAAAGCCCATTTTTTCTATTTTTTTTTTTTTGTGTGCACAATATTTTGCCATTTAACACAAAGTTAAAATGTCAACGATGTCTGATCGTGTGGTGCAACCGAAGCCAACAACACGCAGCAGCAACAACAACAATATGTAGCTGCTGTCATGAGAGTGATGGATAGATAGATGAATGGATGAATGGATGGATGGATATATGGATGAATGAGTGTCTGGTCCAGTATGCAAACAGTTTGTATCGGCGCTGAGATGGTCGCTGAGGTTGGGCTTTTGACTGCAACTAAAACAGAAACTGAAACATTGTACACACACACGAACACACACAGACACACACACTCGTACACACATCTGCATGTTATGCATGTTTACAACATTGAAACGCTGTCTGCTAACATTTTGAATACAAACAAGTCAAGGGGCTACAAGCGAGTTTCAACAATTAGCAGTTAGAACAACATTGACAAGGCGATTTAAAAGGGTTGGTGATATTCGATCTAAAACGAAATGAAACAAGTAAGAGGTTCTATTCGGGTGCTCCCGACTAGGGAATCCCCTGAATCCTCTTATTCCAACACCAAATTAAGCTCGCGCTATCCGCTCTTTTGATTTGGTAGTAACAAAGATACATTACAAAAAAAAAAGTTCCCTTGGCAGGGTTCGAACTTGCAACTAACCGCGCTACTTGCCGCCGTCTCTACTCAGCCACACCAGCCACAAAAAAATGAATAAAAGGCTCTCCTGGTATATCTCGAACTCGCGACAGACAACACCAATTGCCGCCGCCTCTACTAAACGCCACACCAATAATAAGGTCTAAGTAAGAAAAAATCGAATTAAAATAGATGATGGATTCGAATTAAACGCGCATGAATTCTTGTGTGTATTTGTGTATTCTCAAAGAGTAACCAACATTAAAAATTGTAACTTAAATTGGTGGGCAATAGAAGTTGGGTTATTAACTTGATTTATAGCTATGAGGTAGTAGCGGGGAGTTGGCAATAGATATAAAATAAAAGAAACTTAATATATATATATATGTATATGTATACTATTCTAGAGTAAACATATCACCTTTGGTGACTCCAGCTCTTATTATTTACCCAATTCGCTCAAAAATCCGAATTTCGAAATCGATTTTTCGATTGCTAGTTAGCTGAGTAAGTTATCGATTATCGGAAAAAAGCTCGATCTGCGCATGAACTAACAGGACCTACAGCTAAAATTTCTCTAGTCCCTAGCTCTTATAGTTTCTAAAATCCTTGCGTTCATACTTACGGACGGACAGACATGGCTAGATCGACTCGGATGTTGATGATAATTAGGAATATATATACTTTATGGGGTCGGAGATGCTTCCTTATGCCTGTTACATACATTTGCATAAATATATTATGCCATTTTACCCAATTTCAATGGGTGAATGAAAATACAAAGCCTAGGAACAAATGTTGTTGTCCAATTGCTGTTCTTTTAATAGGAAATAATTTAAACAACACAGGAAAGCAAGGCACATCGAAGACAATATTATGTTTATTTTATCAATATTGATAGGATCCAGATGTGTGCAGCATAGGAAAACTTATGAATGTCAAGTCTGGACAATATGTCTTAAAAAACCAAAAAGGCCCTAATTTTGACTGTGCCAGTGCAGCTTTGTGATATAGAAGTCCGATCCGGTTCCTATATCTTTCATACGTATGTACGTCTGCAATAGATAGAAGAACCCATGATAAGTTTCATAGGCTTAAGATTGCATCGGAACGGTCAGACAGAGAAACGCATAAGGCTATATCGACTCGGTCGTTAATAACGGTCAAATATGTATATATATACTTAATGGATTCGTAGGGTACATCCCTTATATGGTTTACAAATTTTTTAACAATATTAAAAAACCCTCAACAAAAGTATAAGCAAGTTTTCGTCTCAGCATCTGACTAAAAGTTTGTCTCTATAATAAAACAGATAGTTCAGTTTGGAGAAAGACAAAAAATATCCATGTAAAATAATATTCAGTTAGCCACTTTGTGTAGTCTCCAATTACGTTAAGGGAAAATCAAATAAATTTTTAAAATTCCTTTTGATCCAAAGCTCAGTCTCTTCAGACTCTTTCTAGGAAACAGAAAAAGAAATAAATAAGCGTGCAATTTGATGTAAACTAGCAGAAAACTCTGACTAAACATAAAATATCATTAAATATTTGTTCAATATGTGTCTCTAAGGGCATGTAAGCTTCGTTGAGGCATGAAAACTGAGCTAAACTGAAGAGTGCCCTAGTCCAATGTCAGATGCCCTGCAAACAGGCTTCACACTGCTTGTTGCATACACTTTCAAAGCTGCCAATATACCCTGTTTTAGTCACTTTCTGTGTACAGTGCAGGGTATGCATAACTAGCTTGTTTGCCAAACGGCTTAAATCATACATCTGGCTCACAAACTGCCTGGCGGGCAATTGTTGTTGAGTAAACGGATATATATATATATATATATATATATATATATATATATATATATATATTTGTTTGTGTGTGTGTGTGTATATACAAATAAGTACGCATACAGGCATGCGCGCGCATATAGTGTCACGCAACATATGCCCAGCTGTGTGTGACTCTTGAGTTTCTTTTGCCTATATTTGTTGTAATAATATTAGTTTTTGCATTTATTTGCTGGTGCAAATAAGCCAAGCACCAAGCCCCCACCATCCCCAGTCCCTCACATTGCCCACAATGGAAGAGTCTTTTGTTTTCCTTGTGCAATGAGCTGGTGAGCCCCAGTGCCCGAACATTGCCGGGTCAGGGCCCTGGCATCCTGCCTGGATTGTTCGTTTTGGCAGCTACGGAAGTAAGATTAATGCAATTGGGAAATCCAACATTCGATATTTGCTGTTGCTGTTGTGTGTGTGTTAATATGTTGTTATTGGATTGTCTTCAATTGTTTTTCATGTTTACCAAAAATATATTAAATCAACAATCAAATGATTGCCCACATACATACCTATTTATGTATATATAAGTATACATACTATACATAAATGTCTGCATAATGTGCTCTTTATGATTTTTGGCGCTATTATGCACGAAATTATGATTCAGGCAAATCAAATGGCAAGGAAATAAAATAATTAGTTTCATTTGCATATACATGCTCTCTTCAGATTTATTAAAATAGCATTCAAATTTCTAAGCCAAGCGACACGCTTGAACGTAGCTTATCGCGCTGCAGTGCTGGCAGTTTAGCTATTTGATAGCTAAATTTGGCTCTTTCAAGGATCAGAGCGGGCAACAATGGAAATCTGAATCAATTTTAGCTATTTCCGTTTTTTCACAACTTCTGCTTATTAAGCTAACTAAGCTTTTTCCAGCTATTGTTCACATTTAGCTACTTTTTAGGCGCGATAGCTGCCAGCACTGTTACTGTTGATGGTATTTTAGCTTATTTTCGTGAATTAATCGAATCGAATCAAATATAAAAAAACAATTTTGAAATACAAAAATTCAGCTTTTACCTATTTATTAATAAATATTTTCATTATTTTTGTAAATAAACATTTTTTTAATTTAACATCAAAATTGCTTTAAAATATATGCAAAATTATCGATACTTGAACATCGACAGCTGTGACTAAGATGTTCGATAAATGAACGCTAGTTTATCAGCTGAAACCAGCTTTCGGCGACGTTTTGAGCTTGGTGGTTTTTTTTTGTTAAGATTCGATTCTGTAAACAAAGACTCATTTGTTTGTTTATATTAACTCTTCAGCGCTCAATTTGCTTATTCAACGTATGAGTGCAGTTAGTAGAACGTGGACTTCATAAAGGCTGTTGTGGAACGTTCATATTAGAAGAAAAAAGTAACATATATATGTACTATAAAGTTTAAAATAGTGACACAAATTGAAAATGCAAAATGTTAATCATGTTTTATGCCCTGTGCGCATAGTGAAAAATGGGCTGATTGGTTATGTGCAATGCCTTGCAGCTGGAGACTCGAAACTTAAATTATATACTCTTGTGTAACCCGGACAGCAAGTGTAAAGTTTTTGGTGAAAGTATACAAATGCGGATAGTTGACAATATCATAAAACAGAAACCTGCTGACGAATTAGAACCAGTGACTTCAATTCTGGCAGCCAAGCCACATACATTTTATGACACTTCGGTTGCGCGTCTTACCTTAGGCTTTCTTCTTTGAAAAAGCTTTTAAAGCTTACAATGTACATTTTATAAAAAGTATATTCTCGAACGATTAGTGTGTACAGTTCGAGTAATATATAATCTATTATCAGCTAATCGCATGTAATACGCTGCCCCTTTGCAACTTATCAGCCTTGAGTTACTTATTTCGTCTTAGACATGAGCTGCCAAGTACACAGATCGCTTTTTACCCAAATTTTAATCGGATTTGTAATCATTTATTTATCTAACATGCCTTTCTTGTTGTTTACTCGTGGTGCAGCTACTGCTGATCAGTCTGGTAGGGACCGAAGGCGCGCACATGCTCCCGTATGCGCACCGCATTGATGGCTATGAAACCGCCCGCATCCTGCGGCACATAACCGCCATGCACATCCATCGAGACCAGCTGCTGGTTGTAGAGCGCACCCACTTTATCCCCAGCCTTGCGTGCAATGGCGCGACAATAGCCGGGCGACAGCTCCACCGTCACCTGACCGGTGACATGCTCCTGGGCCAGCTGAATGCAACGTCGCACATAGAGCGCCTCGGGACTGAACCAGAAGCCATTGTACACAAAGTCGGACATGCGATCGCGCAGCATTTGCTTGGTGCGCAGAACCTCGCGATCCAAAGCAAACACCTCCAAGTCCTGGTGCGCTGTATAGAGTATGGTTCCACCTGGTGTCTCATAGACGCCGCGAGACTTCAGCCCCACATAACGATTCTCAACAATGTCAATGCGTCCGATGCCATAGCTGCCGCCCAAATCATTTAGAAACTTTAGCATATCCATTGGCGTACTATACACTTGACGGCTAGACAGATCCTCAACGCTCGTGGGCAATCCTTGTTTAAAGTGAACGCACACGCGATGGGGCTTCTGTGGCGCCTGTGTGAACGGATCGCGGGTCAGCTCGTAAAGTGTGCTAGGTGCCACAGTATTTGGATCCTCAAGTACGCCCGACTCGTAGCTAATGTGCAGCATGTTGCCATCGGTGCTCCAGGGTGTCGCTGGCTTGGCTGTCACCTCAATGCCATGGGCCTTGGCATAGGCAATCAGATCCTGTCGGCCCTGAAACTGGCGACAAAACTCCACGTCGCGCCAGGGTGCAATGATCTATAGATGAAATGAAAAAACGCTAGATGCTAGATTCCTGTTCACACTGCCGCATAGTCACCTTCAGTTCCGGCTGCAGCGCATAGGCGCATAGCTCAAAGCGCACCTGATCGTTTCCCTTACCGGTGGCACCATGCGCCAAATACTTGGCGCCATGCCGCCTGGCGGCCTCAATCAGGGCCACACTTATACAGGGTCGCGCCAGCGAGGTGCCCAGCAGATAGCGCTCCTCATAGATAAGACCCATTTGGATGGCTGGCCATATGTATTGCTCAGCGAAATTCCTCTTGATATCAGCCACAATCACCTGGAACATTGTAGATTGTCTTGAGATTAGATGTGATTAGCTTGCATGCGTTGCACTCTGGAGACCTCCTTGGCGCCTATCTTGAGCGCCTTTTGACGAGCTGCCTCAAAGTCCTCCTGCTGACCCACATCGGCCAGCACGCAGATGACCTCATAGCGCTGCTCCAGCAGCCACTTTAGTATGCAGCTCGTATCCAGGCCACCCGAATAGGCCAAAATCACTTTCTCGACAACCATTTTTTAACGAGTCTGCGTTCCTCAACGTGCGCTGCCAATTGGAATACTAAAAAACAAAGCTGTTTGCGCTACAAAGCGACCCGCTCGCGTTTCCACTTCAACCCCGACGCTGTTCAGGTTGATAAGACTGTTTGTTAGTAACTGAAAACAGATTAGTCTCGCTCGCTCTCAACCTGGCAAAAGCTTTACGTATATATTTTTGATATACCTAAGCATAATAATGTGTTTTTTCTAGCTTAATTTAAGCTCATTTATGTTCGAATCATTTTTATCCATTATAATTTCAATGTTTTGAATTTTCATATAAATACAACATTTTTGCTTTTAGACGTCAATTTACCTCACTTTCTTCGCTCTTGATAAGTTAAAATCTACCATCAGAAATTGCACAACGAATTTAACACATATCGGATTGAGAACCTTTTGCGAAATATATAAGCTTTTGTTCATGCAGCCTTTGACCCGCATATTGGACGTGAATTTTACGTTTGAAATGCAATTTCATAAAAATCTTAAAAAAAATAATTAAATTATTTCCTCCAATTTTCCATAGTTCGGAGCGGAATTTCCCAAAAGCCCGCTTTATTGACATTACTGACATTTTTATATTAACATTGTAAATATCGGGTAGCTCGCTATAAGATCATTTTGCGAGGCTGGTTTACAAAACAAAATTCTGGTTCGTTTTATAAGTAAACATCTTGAGCTTAATATGCCTCTTTTCCCATCAATTGGACGTATGTACATATGTATGTAATTATATGCCGATTGTGCAAACGGATTATAAATATTTTGTTCAACTTTTATAAGTTGCAGCTTTGGTATCCACACTCAACTTAAGCACGCTCCAAGAAGGTAAAATACGTAAATGTTTAAACATTAAAATTAATATTGAACAATTCAGTGTACTTTACGTAATTTTGACTTATATGGGAGGAGAAATGAAGAAGTTGAGATTTATTTATGCCTCAGATATACAACGAACTAAATGAAATTTAAAAAAAAAAATATGTACAATTTATAATTGAAAATCTTTTAAGATAATATGCAATCGACTTTTACTTATTTTCTAAGACTTCAAGCATCTAAACGATTATAAAGGCTGCCTTATAAATTTGAACAATTTCAAAAGATTAGCAGCTCTATCTTTGTTTATTTAACAAAAGTAGTCAAATTATCTATGTGTTTAGCTATAAGTTGTATAAATTATTATTTTATTATTCCAAAAACGATTCGAATTATGTTAGAATAAATAAAGAATTGAAATTTAAATGGCGAAGAAAATAAAATAAATATTCGATTAAGCCCGGAAGCACTCGCTGGTATCGATCGATTTTGGAATATTTTTATTCGAATCATAGCTTTACAAACAACAACTTTAATAAACCTTTTTTTCTATCGACAGCCGAACGTTCCATTCAAAATATCAGAATAGGAATATCTTTTAATAATGTTCACAACGGAAAAAGTAGCAATCCGCTATTTAGTGCAAAAAATCGGTCTAAAGTACATTCATACCGAAATCAATTGAACTGGTATTATTGTGTGTTGGAAAATTTGACGAATTGTGTTCGGGTCGCTTTGGTCACACTTTTTTTTTACAGTTAATTTGGTAATTTACCAGTAAGTCGAACAGTACTTGGAACTTGAAACTGCCTTGCTTGGCGCATATTAATCGGAAAAATGGCCTTGCGTAAGCTAAAATTTCGTATGTTAATATATAATAAGAATTAATTTAATTTAAATTGTATAAAGAATGCGTTACATTTTGGCTGGAACTTTTGAAAAAAGTTCGCATTGCTGATGACATTAAGAATAATGAGGACGACGTTCAGCTTGAATTGGAGAAATTATTGAAATTAAAGTTGCCGTACCACTCAATTGGCATTTATCCATTTGGCTCGCGTATTATGGGAGTTGCTCAGGAAACTTCAGATTTGGACGTTTACGTTGAATTGGGTTAGTATTTAAACGAGCTGCTGCTGCATGTATATATGTACATATGTTCTAAGTGGCATGTACATATGTTTTTCATCTGAACTCAGACAACAGCTTCTACGAATACAGCGAGTCACCTACTATGGAAGTCCTGGAACGACAACGAATTGTGGCAAATGCTTTTAACTCAGAATCAAATTGGAAGCGTATTGCCACCTTTGGCGGAAGATGTCCCATCGTGGTGGTCAAGCATTCGACTGGCTTGCAGTGCGACCTTAGTTTCTTTAACGGTCTGACCTATAGACAAAATATACTGGTCATGTATCTGTTTGAACTACAGCCTATAGGTAAGTAGATGCGCGAAATCCATTGATATAAATAATATCAAATTGAATTTCTCAAGAAGCTCGCTATATGGTGATCTATTTACGGGACTGGATACAAAATATTGGTCTGAAAGACGTATTTCGTAGCCATATACTCATACTAATGGTCATATTCTTTTTGCAACTACATAACCATTTGCCTGGGATTGACAGGCTACAGGCAAATCAAGAACCAACTGTTGGACGTACGTACTTTGATTTAAATATGCCGATTCCGCAAAGTTTTAAATTTAATATATTTTAGCATGGGTTACTACGTTCAATCAATTGAAATTATCAGACTTTAATATGAGCAAATTAGAAGTCAACGAGTATAATACGCGTTCGGTTCTAAAGCAATTCTTTCGGTTCTACGCCAACTTTAATTTTGCCCAGTATGCTATTTGCCCTTATCTGGGAAGGTACGTGGAACGTCTATTATTTGACAGACATATGCCCCAAAGGTAATATGAAAATGTGTTCTAAAACTAAAATTATTGCATGGGTTTACTTTTAGATATACTCAATTGCGCAGCAGAGATAATAAGTTTACACGGTTTACCACGGCCATTCAAGATTTCATATTGCTTGACTTTAATAAGGGTTGGCAAATAAAGGGAATGCATGTTCGCACATTCATATATAGATGCCAAAAAGAGCTTGATTAATGGACGATTACCATATATATACTTTATGCATTTATATATAACTACTTTAAACAACATTTAATGTAAGACACAACAATTTAAAAGTTTTTTAATGAATGATCTTATTTTTTAATACATAAAAAGCGCACCTTAATTTTGAACAGACGCATCAAATCATAAAATGCTGAATGAATTCTGAATAAACCAACTTATGTACTCGAATCTTTAGTTGTTTTTGACCAGACGTCAATATTCATAATTTCGCTTGCACTTGACCTATCAATTAGTGAAGCTGTCACTCCGAAAATCCATGTATAATTAAAATCTTTGTCTCCTGGCATTGGCATTGAACTATTTAAATTGCATGCTTCGCTGCACAATTGTGTGGAAAATTTATTTTCAATCGAATACAAGAAAGGTCAAGTCGAGTGTCCGAATAGGGTACACCCTGAACACAGCTGCCCTGGGAAACATTCTAGATTTGTTGTAAATACATTCAAGATCTATTCTACATATGTATACCCATATGTATATATGGAAATGAACCTTCCGACAAGCGACATACCAAGTTTATTGTATATAGGTGTTATCATTTTGTTGTTTGCTTTTAAAATCATTTCCGAAACTAGTTATTATAATATAATCTTATGATATATATGTTAAAAATATTAAATTAATTTATAGTCTAGATTTTGTATTTTCCTTTATGGGCATGACTAGATTAATCACTCGTCGACCTGATCAAGAATATATATACTTTAGAGAATGGGGGGTTTCTTCTGCCTATTAAATATGTCTATCTACTCATTTTAACAATTTCCAATAGGGTTCAGGGCATAAAAAGCAGTTAATTGAAACAGTTGATTATTTAATCAACGAATTATTCACATAGATTTGAATCTAATTAAGATGTCCTGGCCGAAGTTCTTGTATAAAAGCGTGCCAATAAACATGTTGCCCAGCAGAAGCAGTTATCCTAGCTCAAGTTGAACACTGACAATGCCCAATCCACAACGAATGCGACATGGACTCGGCAGACTCCGGCTGCTGCTTGATCTTGTTATATTTCTCGCGATTTGGCATCAATGTTGCGCCATGTAAGTATTCAATTCACCCGCTCGCATTCGCTATATATTCATCTATTCTACTTGAATGCAGGGATTATGGTGAAAGCAACGCATGCAGTGAGGATCATGCTACAACACCCGACAATTGTGGGCCGGAGGGTGTTCATAAAGTGTCGGTAAACGGCTGCTTCAAATATTACTGCTACCGTCGTCTGGGTGAGCAGTGCTATCCAGGCGATGAGACAACAGCATGTGCTAAGCATCTAACGTGCAGCTGTAACAAATGCATGAACTGCGATCCTACAACTAACGAATGTGTCATGGATAACTGTCCCAGTTATTTAAATTATAAGAAACGTTTGCCGAACCGTTTGCTGCCTTGGTTTGATCGTGCACGTTGGCACACCTTCTTGCAAAAGTTTACCATACCCAATTACGAGGATTAAATGAAGACTTCTACCACTTACCATACAATGCATTGTATGGTTAGTGCTTCTACAATAATTGACAAATACTCGGACACGTACGCGCTATACACATATGCATAATTAAAACATATTTATACGAATACAAAAAATGTAGCTAACAAAATATAATCTAGTTGAGCACTGCATACAAAATATGCTTGGGTTAAAAAATCTTGTGTTTTGGTAGAAACCAACCCTCATACGCGCGCGATACCACACATGGATTGTAATTCCCAACTTGCAATTCAGCTGCACCGCAATATAAATAGCTTATATAATGCGGCAGTTCACGTTCTTGCTTCGGCAGAACATATACTAAAATTGGAACGATACAGAGAAGATTAGCATGGCCCCTGCGCAAGGATGACACGCAAAATCGTGAAGCGTTCCACATTTTTTACCAAACCAAGCGGCCCGCAGAAAAGTATATATTTAAATTATGTCCTCCGTCCTTCACGAAAATTAGTTTTTCTGTTTTATTGCAGGCCTAAGGCTGAACATGGCAGATCAAATCACTAAATCTTATAGCTGCTATTATAACTATATGATTTTTTTATTTCAAAGATATCCTAACCATTTTTGAAGATAACAGACTACAAGCCAGATTAGGCGTAAGGCATATAGCATATGCCATGATTAAACAATATGTCGAAAAATTCGCCTATAAAAATTAAATTGACTAAAACCTATGCTTCGTCCGGAATATGGCAAAACTTGTTAAAAAAATCACCTAAAAATGGACACGTTAAGTGCGCTACTTCGCCCAAAAGTATATTTTTAAATTTGAAATTAACAGCAACCTTATCTTAACGAATATCAACCTAACGAAAATAGCGTGGACAAGCTGATGAAACTTTAATTCTGGATGTCACCGAAGTCCAATAGATGGCGCCAGTGCAATAGGCGCGCGGACGCACTCCAGATTTGAATTCAAATTGACCTCGCTTCAATTCACGTGCAATTATTAACAAACAGCCTTCGCTCAGCGCTTGGTCAACTCGCTGAGATGGCTTACGAATCGCATGAAATATCAAAAAATAAGTACACATATTGCCTGTTTACAGTTTTAATCTGCAAGGCACGCACAAAAACCCTAAGATATTCAATACCATGAACTTGACAACAATAAATGCCGAACGGCACGATTTTGACTAATTACATTCAGCTCGGCCACTTCAAGACAAATGAGCACACATGATTTATATGTGCTTATTTGGGTGGGTTTGTCGCCAAGTAAATAAGGAAATTAAATCGTAATTCAATCAAAGAGTGTACCTGCGCCTCAGCTATGCCGTCTTTGCAGCTCTACTCTCCCAGTCGCATTTGCCACTCACTTATTTGGTTGCCGGCCTGAAATTTGAAGTCAGTCGCCAGTTGACGCTCGCATGATTCACACGCAAAGAGATATAAAATATAAATCGCGTCGCGTATTCGGCACAGTTAACCGTAAACCTGAGTGCTGGTGCTGCATACGAAGCGCAGGAGTTTTTAAATATTAGTTTGGTACAACCCAAATATCAGGAAGCATTTATTTGGTCAACTGGTTGATGTGCCAAAAAAATAACGCCGAAATTAAAAAAGAAAAGTAAATATTTGTGCCAAGCGGGTGGCACAGCTCAAACTGTGTGGCTTGCCACACTCTCCCACACATACACACACACACACACTCACACAAGCAAAACGCAAGTTGCGCTGTTTCAAGTGGCAAAAGAAATTACACAATTTGCAAGTAACAACAACAACAACTAAATGACTGACTAACTTTTAGTAGTTGCTTTGGTCAACTGAAGTTTTGGTCAGCTGAAGTTTTGGTCAGAGCCGGCGCCAAGCTGCACAATTCACATTTGCCGTTTGTTATTGTTATTGTTGTTGCATTTCGAGTTATATATGTCTGAAAAGCTTTAGTTGCACATAGACAATCGGATTGCACACCCGCAAGTTTGTGTCTTGTACAAGTCTTTTGTTTATATTTAATGTTTCTCCTCGCTCGAGCGCTCGTTAATGACAAACCAAATGAACTAAAATACAGGCATATTCATCAGCTTGTCTTAAGTACATAAAAAGGGGTCAAGTGCAGCGAAGATTACATAAAACAAAAAAAAAAAAAAAACCCGACGAACAGCTGAAAAAATGTGTCTTAAATTGCTTTGGCAAAGAGTTTGTGTGTACTTCGTTTTGGCCCTGAGAGTCGTGATAAGTCTACCAAGCATTGACAGCCCACCAAGATAACAAATTTTAACAAGTGCAGCTAAAACTGTAAAACGAGTTCGCTGTGCGACTCAAACTGTTGACGGCAACAGTTTCCCAACAATTAAACTGTGTCTTAAAATGGCTAAAATTACAGAAAATGTCTTAAAAGATTATAAACGTTTTAGCCAAGATATGCATATTTATAAAATAAAACAGTCAAGCATGTGATTATCCGAAAACTTTACATTTTTATGTTTTAAAACTAATTTTAAACAGCTTTTAAACCACATACCAAGCACATTTCGAAAACATTTAAAGCCTAAAACTATTTGAAATTTTGTATGTATTTGAACTGCTTTCCCAGGGCATGGCACATTCCGATCAGAATGCACAGTAGTTAAAATTTACCTTTAAGAAGTGGTAAGTCAATTAAAACTGCTTGCCAGTTGCCAGGCATATTCTGAGTCTGAGTGTTCAATACTGACAAAACATCGATAGAAATCCTAGAAAAACCTATCTTAAATATTGGTTGGGTGCTAAGCAACTTTAGTACAAATCCGTCATACACAGATATTCAATTTGATGTTTCCAATCATAAATTTAAACTGCTTGCATAGCAAATTCTGACTGCAACTGACAAGCAGTTTCACCCAGAACGCAAAGCAGTTCAAAATGTGACACAAACAAGAACCGTTATAACGCTTCAATACAACCAAAACTGTAGTTAAGACTAAACGTACTTAAATATTAAACAATTGTCGACAATTTTCACGCTTTGCACCCGCTTCAAATGTATGAACAAAACACATAAATACTTAGCACTTACCAATACAAATTTGCACTTGCATTCAACAGAGTCTTGTAAAAGCAACAACAAAATGTCGCAACAGTTGCTCATAAACTGTAACAGCCGCTGTTTAGTCGCGTTCGTTGTTGTCTCTGTTGTTGTTGTTTTTGCGGGGCTAACTGAAGCCTCCGGTCAAATTGATGTGGACGAGGACTTAAAGCATTTGATCGGCCGCTGTCACCGAGATGATGCAAATCTCGAGGCGTACAACGATTGCATGAAACAGGTGTTCAACGATTTGCGCGCCTATTTTACAACAGGTGAGCCACGGTTAAGGTGGGGGTCACAAGTGGACTCATGAACCATTCTCTACCCAACGAACAAACAGGTGTGCCTGGTTACAACATCCAGCCATTTGACCCGCATCACTCGTCATTTGTAGAGCTGCGTCGCGGCGATCCGCATGGCCCCGGCAGCTTTAAACTCATTTTACGCAACGTCTCCGAATACGGCTGGTCGCGCTCCGAGGTGACTAAATTTCATAGTCATGCCGAAGATCAGCGCATTGTCTATGCGCAATACTTTCCCGAGAAGAGCCTGGAAGGCGAATACGAGTTCGTGGCCAAAATGCTGGGCACAGAACTGCGACGACAGGGCCACTGGAATCTAACGCTCTACGACTACAGGTGAGGAGCTCCCAATTATAGTGTATATACATATTTCTATTCCTAATGCTGGATTATCCAACGGACAGTCAAACAACGAGCGTGCGGCGCGTGGGTCCACCTGGCTCGCTGCTGAAGGTGCACGTGGAGGTGGATCGCATTGGCGGCATGGAGCTGCATATAGGCAATCTGTTGCAGGGTCAGCCCTTGAATCAACTGGCCGATGGCGTCATCAACAGCATGTGGCAGCTGGGTTTGCCATTTGTCCGGCCCATGATCAACGAGCTAGTGAGCACGGCATTTACGGATATATTCAACGAGTCCTTTCGGCTCTTTCCACTCGACAAGTTTCTCAGCTAGTTTATCAAAGATTTTCATATGTTATTTAACCATATCTATCTATGTGTGTGTGTGTGTGTGTGTGTGTGTGTGTAGATCTATTAAAGGTGCTCCGATTGTGCAATAACTAAACATCGGCCAGACTGCTGGCTATCGCATAATCATCACGCTGCGCCTTCTTGGGCGGCTGCAGCGACGACAGCGCCAGGCTGCGCGCAAATATGTTGCCCAGCGAGATGACAACATAGCTGGAGCATTGGAATTGCTGCTCTACGGTGTCATGGAGCAGCTGATAGGCTTGCTCCAGTTCGGGCGTTAGCGTAGCTGTGTGTGGACAGAAAGAGAGAAAGAGTACATTTATAGTTCATGTCAAATTTACAATGAGGCTTGAACATACGTTTCTGTTGTAGCTGCTGTTTGTTCAGATCAAACATGAAGCGCAGATAGCACAGCTGATTGTAGAGATCGCGCTCGGAGTATTGACGCAGCATAGCGCCGCTGTTGCACTTGAGGCACAGCGGGCGACGCATCTCGAGGCGTACGGAATAGCTACGCGTGTTGTAGTTGCAATCAGGATGATCGCACACTAGCCAATTGCGATAGAAGCGCTGCACATAGCCGCGCATGCAGAGTTGCAGCTGATTGCGTATGCTGACCAGATACTGCAGCGGCGATGTCTGGCACTCCGAATTGACGCACTGCTGCAGCACGGGCACATGGCTGCTGTTCGGGCCCGGTCGATAGGCGCTGGCCATTAGCTGCTCCGTTTTGCATGCCACGCACTTGAAGCGGAATGGCTCGCAGAGCCGATAAAGTTGCAACGTGGTTTTCTGCAGCGATTCACCATCGGCTTCCTCTGTGCGCTCCCGCTGTATGCTGTGTGTGGGGAGGGGAAATTAAGCGTTATGATAAGTTGCTTTGGACTCTACGTTTCGGCTGGCACTTACCGCTGTGCATTTTGCCTGTATTTGCTGGCATCCATGCCCAGGCACTCGGCAATGCGACTGGCATCGGTGCCCTCGAGCACCTCTACCATGCGCGTGACCACCGGATGTATCTGATGGCTCAGATAGTAATTGGTATCCAGCTGCAGGGATTCGCTGCCCTTCAGCTCCTCCAGATGATAGGCACGCTGCATGGCCGCATTTGTGGTGCCATCCAAACAGATCACATAGTCCACCATGTCCCCCTTTTTATAGCGTCGATTGCGTTCGCGATTCATGCGCAGCGCCACCTGAACATGCGGCAGTGAGGAGCTGTTGGCATACTCTTGGGGCGCACGTGTCAGCTGCTTGGTGATGACATACAGCGGCAGCGGCACAGCCGACTGTGTTATTTGCTCCTTGATGCGCCCGAGCTGGGCGTGCACGGCCTCAAGTTTATCCTCCAGCGGCTTGTCGGCCAGGACTTCATCGAGCACCGCTTTGCCCACCATGACGGCCAGCTGTGACCAATCGCGACGCACAATGTCCAGACCCTTGTGCTCCTGCTCGCGCAGCAGGACACCCTTGGCATTCTTGCTCAGCTTAACGGCGGCATATTTCTTCTTCTTGAGCAGCAGCAAACAAGCAAAGACGCCATCAATGTCCAACTCCAGTTGTTTGTACAGCTTATTCACGCTCTGCTTGATGGTGTGCCCAATCTTATAAACCTGATCATAGTCGGTTATATTTGTATTTATCATTAGCGAATCAGTGTCGCCATATACCACATCGTAGTTGAGCTTCTGCACGAGCTGCTGTGTGTTCACCAGAATCTCGCGTCCCTTGTGCGTCACTAGCGCCGCGAGATGCTGCGCAAAGAAACGCGAATGCGCAAATCCCAGACAGCCGTACATGGAGTTCGCGGTCAGCTTGAGCGCCATTTGTCGGATGTGGTACTGCATATGCAGTTCCGCCGCCAGATCCGGCGCAGCCATCAGCTTCTTGACCTCGCGACGCGATTCCACCAAACGACGCAGCTGCAGCGGCAAAATGCCCGGCTCCGCACTGGAATCCGGCAGCGTAGGCAGCTGTTCCGCATCATGGGGTTGCTGCACCGTGGTGAAGCATATATTATACTCCTGTATAATGCTCGGATATAGCGAATTGAAATCCATGAGCAGCACATACTTCTCGTAGAGGCCACGTATGGGCTCCAAAACCAAGCCGCCCGCATAGGCGGCCTTTTTACGCACCGCTCCAGCGCCCGCTGCCACCGTTGTGTCCTGGCTCGTGGCATCGGGGTCGGCACCAGCAGCGACACGACGCGCTGGCAGCTTGTCAGGCACTATGTAGTTCTTCTCATGGAAGGCGTGCAGCAGCAGGTACTCATTGCGCTCGGAGCGACCGCCCTGGAGTGTGCGGGTCATTGTGTTGCCGCAAATGTTGGTTATCTGCAGCGCCAGCGGCATGATGTTCAGCTCGCACATGAGACGCAGCATATAGGAGGCGTCCTGCATGGTCAGCGAGATGAGCTTGGTGACGTTCTCGCCTGCCAACAGAAGAGAGAGATACTTATAAATCGAAAACCCGAACAGATTTTGGCAGATACTTACCCTTCTCATACATCTCGAGCAGATCATCCGCATTGACCTCCATGCGCTCCGATTCCTGCAGTTTGAGCACCTGCTGGCACAGCGTCTGCAGATCATAGGATCTGGCTCTGATGCACTCCTCCGCCGACCTTTTCACATCGCAGACCATGCGACCCACAAAATGATCCAGTAGCTTTTTGCCAAAGGTTTGCGAGAAACGCAGCCGACCCATGCGTGACCACTGCGGTATCTTGAGGGCGACTATCTGATCCGTAATCACATTCAGCTGGCAGTCCATGGCATCAAAGGTGACTATAAGATCCGCATCGATTTGCTGATATTGTGCCAGAAACCAGCTGAGCAGCGCACGCTCCGAGTCATGTTTATAAATCTTTGTCGACTTGTACTTGCTCAACTGCAGATTCAGGTCAAAGGGCCAGCTGGAGACGGCAGGTCGCGTGAGCGCGCACATGTGACGATTGAATGCGGGCTGCGGCGCCGGTCTGTCAATGTGAAAGCGATTGTGGGTGAGCATGGATATCATACAGATCTCGTTTTTCAGTGTCTTTGGATTCATGGAAGTGCGCACGTTGAGTGTGAGCAGGGTTAGGGCAGGCGGCGGCGCTGGTTTGCCCTGTTCCACGAGCACAAGCTCCACGTTCTTAGGCTCGCCGACGGTCACATCCGTTTTGCACCAACTAAGGGGCGCCGGATTTACATTGAAGCCGCTTATCTGCAGCCAACAAGGACCCTTGATCTTGCGCTCCAGCAGAAAACGTTCCAGTGCATTGGTGCTGGCGCCAAATATGTGCGCTATGGAGTCATATTTCTTGTTTTGCATGTTCGGCGCCGGCTTCTTGCCATCGTAATGCACCTCCAGGTAGTCACAGGTCTGCGGCACTTCGATGCCAATGGCGTGATTGGCAAAGCTTTTGCTCACCTTGCGCGAACGAAATGTGTCCAGCTTCAGTTCGGTGGCAATGTGCGTGTCAAACTCCTTGTACATGTCCGCAGCTGTAACCTTTTGCTTGGTGGGCTCCTTGGTTATGGGATCTAGTAGCTATTTGAGGCGCAGATTAATCAAGAGTTGCATTTAACCAAGCTTGTCTTTATACTTACATATTGTCTGGGCAGGAGATAGAGCACACGATTAATGTTCTGCACGCGCACACATATGGACTTGCCATCGGGTGTGCGCCCAAAGAGAAACACCTCGCCGGGCAGCTTGATTGCATCCTCCCAGGCCTCCCAGTACCAGAAGCGCAGCTGCTCGACATCCCCAGGATCACTGCCCAGCGCTGTCTCGGCCTCGCTGGCCAGCGCTGATCTCTCAAAGTCATCGTCCATTTGGCAGATGGACTCCCAGTTGCTGAGCAGCTTGCTCATATCGTCGGCCTCTTGTTTTGGAGGTCCAGCTGAAGCGGGCAGAAGCTCTGGCTGCGCTTTGGACGCTGCCAGCTCAAACTGGTTCTCATCGTCGTCCAGGCAACTGAAGTCCAAGTCATTGTCAGGGCAGAGTTCAGGCGTACCTTCTCTTGCCTTCTTTCTGGGCTGCTCAGCAGCTGTTTCAGTGACTGGCTCCTGCTTCACTTTGACTGCAGCTGGAGTAACTGGAGTTGCCTTCTTGTTGGGCAGCATAGCTGACTTTGGCTGCAGGATGCGGTCCAGCATTTCATCATCGCTGCCGGCGTCTTTTTTGCGCTGCTGCTCCTGCTTTTTGATGTTGCTCAGAAAGCTATTCATGTACTCCTTGGCAGCGGCTGCATCGGACTTGCGCGTGGCGGCCATAATTTTGGCAGGCGCAATAACTTTATGTTGTCGCGGTGTTGACGCCGCGTCGCCAGCTGGCTCTTCTTTGATTTCGCCCAGTATGTCGGCAAGGATATCATCATCTTTGACACTGTTTTTGATGTCTGTCTTCTTTGGCAGCGCATTGCTAAACAGATTGCGTATGGATGCCTTGCCCTTGGCAGGGCCTGTGTCGCTGTCGCGTGATCGTTTCTTTCCGTTGCCAGCTTTATTTTTCTTGCCATCGCTTTGACCCTGCTCATTGTCAGAATAGTCATCTTCATCCTCAAAGAAATCGCGACCATCCTCCGCGTAGCCAGTGCCGTCTGTGGGCGGCATTTTATTTGGCTGATGGCTTGAAAATGGGTATTTCTACGACTTACCATCTTCAATCCAATCACCGCCGTATTTTTCATTTGCCCGCTTCGCATATTCGCGCTCGTCCACAACTTCATATACATCGTCCACTTTTTCTTCCACCTGGCATTTGTTTTTGGTGCCCTTCAGGCCTCGGAGGCGCTCCAAGGCTGCGAAGCGGCCCGTTTTGTCAATTCGCTGACGCTTGACACGCGGACCAGCTGTGTGAACAACTCTCAATACTTATTAACACGTTTAACACTATAATTTGACTACTTACAGGGTGAATCTGCCATTTGGGACGCCACAAATTAATTAAATTCTATCAATTTACGCAGTCTGAAATCTTTTCGGAAAAGGCGGGAAAGTGTCAGTGTGCCCACATGGAAGCATCGAAGTAAACTTGCTTAACGCTGGCGTTGCCCCCTCGATAAGCATTCCATTAACAGAACCACTCCTCCGCTTAACAGATTACGTATATGGTCTGTGTTGTGAGAAAATTGCTCCTCACAGCAATAGTTTATCCATTATGTTATCGAGCTGTGATCCCGCTTCAGCACCACCTTTCGACGATAACTTTTACGCGCTCTTAAGCTTCGTATTCAAATGAATTGTAAGCACAAACAGCAGATTTTGTGCTTGTGTCACCTCCCCCGCCTTTTAGCGTTGATTTTCTGGCGCTCCGGCACTCCAAAGTGGTCCGTTATGCCAAATGCACTGCCACTAGACACGTGGCTCCGCTATGTGGGAAACCCTTTTCCGTAAATAAGTATTAGATACTTTGTGTTTTCTGCCATCAATTGAAATGGAGCCGTCAAAAACATAAATTTAAGCTACAAAATACCGCTAATTTTTAGGAAATGCCTCGAAACTGATCAGTGTGTACACTCCGAAGCAACGAGCACAAATGGTTCGATATTAACATTGCCCCATTGTCAAATTGTCTTAGTTAACACAGCGCCTAACACAGTTAACAGAACTCGCTTCTGCTATGGAAAATTTAACATTCATGAGGATGTAGATCGATAAGTTAGCCGGTTACTCTAGTTTTTTAACATTTAACCTATTACTCCTCACTTAAATTTAACAGTTAGCATCTGAATTTATTTAATGGCTAACAGATTGGCTAACGAATAACTTGAAAAATGAGCACTACTCCTCACTTTTACAGCTGCTATTGTAACTGTTACTGTTACCAGACTTACTCCTCATACCTTTAATTCCACACAATAAGCGCGAAAATTAAATACAAATACTTAACAAAATAAAAGACTTGTTGATTTGTTGTTTTCTCGTTTTTATATTTTATTTGATCATGCATAATATTAAGCTTAAAGTAATATTTTTAATAATATATTTAAAATACAATAAACAGCAATTACGTTTATATTTCGTGCTTATAGAAGGCAGGTAACTGTATATGTATGTAAATACATATACAAATTTATCTTTCATTTTACTCTTATATCGTATTATTACAATACATATGTAAAGTTCTGGTAGATATACACATACACTCAAGCAGACTTACATATTACACATGTATACGCCACATATATATTTATGACTATTCAAAAATTCATACATATTTACAATTTGATAGAAAATATTAGAATTTTTGTGTGTAGTCTACAATTTGGGGCTGTGATTAAAAAGTAGATTTGCCAGAAATATAAAAAAGCGAAGAATACTGTTTTGGAATTTGGGAAAATAGTGTTGTGAACAGTGAAAAATATAGTGAAAGGAACTGTGAAATTGAAAATGTCAGTCTTCCAGAAAAAACATTTAGATAATGTGAAAATTAAACTAGAGAGAGAGAGAGAGAGAGAGAGAGAGAGAGAGAGAGAGAGAGAGAGAGAGAGAGGTAGGGAAAATTATAAAAACAATTTAAAAATTGCGCTGGAAATTCAGATTCATGCTTTAAAAGGGTGTAGGGTCTTTGAGGTATTTTCAGCTATGGAGTATACATATATTGGTACATATTTCATAACAGATTCAAGCCAAAGACATGGCACAAATATAAATTTAAACTTAAGCAAATGTTTTCAAGTCTGCCAGATGCCAATCCGATAGTAATGCTAAACATTTAACAACAGCAACAAAACAACAATAACGGTTAACAATGCAAAACGCGCGGCAACTGCAATGATAGTGAAATCACAATATTATATAAATGTATTAAATGTTTATTTTGAGCTCAATATTTACCTAGCCACAGTGCTTGCGCCCACGTGCAGCTGACACGCCCCGTGGTGGACAATCACACCACCTGGACCGTGGCAAAGGCGCTGAACGTGACCTTCTTGGGAAACTCGGGACCTGGTGAGCCGCGTGTCTTGATAACGGGCTTCAGCGGCTGGCGTGGCTTCAGCGACAGGAGTCCGGCGGATGCGGCCAGTTCGCGTAGTCGCTGGGAGAAGCCGCTGCCGCTGGAATTGCTGCCGTTGGCTGTTGTCGCCGCTGCACTATGATGCTCCAGGCCGGCGCAGTCGAGGACATCGAGTCCATTGTTGGAGCGATAGACCTGCGCCGTGGCCGTGGGATATACCGCCAGACTAGTACCGCCCGTCGTGCCGCAATTGCTGCCCCCGGCTGCTGCTGTTGTTGTTGTCGCTGCGGCGGCTGGCGTGATGTAGCTGCAGAAACACAGAGAGAGAGAGAGAGAGAGAGAGAGAGAGTGGAAAATTAAATTAGTCAGCCTTTGCGCTAATTGATTTATTTTTTATTTGCCAAAAACTTTGGGGTGTGAACAGCGTTCACAAATAATCTGATCGATAATCGGAAAGATGAGTCGCACACAACTGCGAACTGGCCAGCGAATTGGCATGTGGCAAACAGTTTATAAAGTGGTTTGGCTACCACAACAAGACCCGCCCGGCAACAGGCCACTGAGCCTAAGATCTTGCATTCAGATCCGCTTGTTATTCATTAAATATATATACCATATATATTTTTTGATATACAACTAATATAAACAGCATCCACGAAGCGTGCTGTTTATTTTCATACACTGCTGCAATTTTCAATGTTGTGTCGACCTTATAGATGCTAATTAATTTGTTTATGCGATTCGTGCCCGGGCAATCGATCTTTCAGCTGATGCTGCGCTACTTTTGGCCAACCATTAACCAATAAACATATTGCTTACACAAATACATTTATAGATTTTGCGTGTTTAAGGCTTTTTTTCGCCTAGTTTTTCGCCTTTGATTGTTTAAATTTTGATTTATTATGATTGAACTCATCCAATACAACAATAGGGTATATGCAAATGAGTTCACGCTGAGTTGATGCGCAACAGCAGCTGCAGAGTTAATTGTTTTTTCGCAACTCAAATTGTTTACCAAAGAAAATTAATTGAAATTAAATTGATGAGCGTGAAGCGACAACTTGTCTTGTGAGCTAGTTTCGAGCCGACAGCTTGGCATAGATATACTTTGCATATTTACAAAGATTAACACTATAAATCCTCTGCTGTTTTATATTTTATACTTTATATTTTTCAAGAGGTGTAGACTTATAATATTTTTAAATATTTTTCAATATGGTCGTGGAGAAATTGAACTATCTATCAGATCGAAAGAATTCTTAGGCTAGTTGATATATATTTTAATATATTTTATGTTGGTCATAAAAGTATATAGCTATTATATATAGCTGCAGAGGACTATATTTCTGAAGGAAACAATTATTTGCATAATGTTAATATATTTAAATAAATTTTATGCTGGCCGCCTTGAGCTAAATCTATATAATATATTCATGTAGTAGTCGAAAAAGCATTGATAATGGAAAATTGTATTGTTTTATGTGAAACTAAGGATGACAGCGAGCTGGGTTCAAGTATGTAGAATGGGGGTTTCTGAAGCAAACTTATGAATATGAAGTTGATTCGAACCTAACGGTCAGCCATCTGGGCTTGCAGTCCTATTTAAAATTACATTTAAGTTAAGTTTAAGTTCCTTAAGTTCCTTATATACCAAATATTTGTTAACATATGTTTGTATTATCATGTGTACCATGTTTATGTATATATTTAATCTCAAATCAATTTCCGTATTAAGCCTCTTGCGCTTATTAAGCTGTTGTGTATTTTTAAAAGTTGTGTAATTATTGTTAGCATTTGTTGTTGTTTTGCTTTTGTTAATTTTGTAATACGCATTGCAATTGGAATGCAATTTTTTTATTTTGGCAGCCTTGCCTGAAAGCATAATTAGCATAAGCTGCCGCGTGCTTTACTTCCTCATAATGTCAACAATTTAATGTCAATTCATTTATATATTTCGTTGTCATTGTTGTTTTGTTTTGTTTCAGTTGTTGTTGGCCAAGCAATTGGCATTCACCGAGCGTCAGTCGCAGAGTTTAGCGACAGGCGCTTAATGCATAAATAAATTAAAAAATAAACCGTGTTAAATGTGTTTTTTTATTTTCATTTATTATATTTGTGTTTTTGCCGCCGAACTTCACTTGATTTTGAGTCTTGATATAATTTATCGCACAATACACGTTTGGTGCGAGCATTAATTAAGCCAATGCTGCGGCTCTGTGGGTCATCTCCATAGACAAAAATCTTGGCTAGACGACGCATCATTCGAAATGCTTTACTTCAATTAAAATTGAACCAGTGCGCCGGCCACTTAATCGTAATGTTGCGGCTCGCACGAGTACCTTCAATGCGCATTTTAATTTAATTTTATTATTATTGTATTTTGTATTGTAGCTGAATGCCAAGCCGTGTGAATTCGTTTTACATTATCAGGCGGTCAGATTTGTACGCTTCATTGTTGTTGCTATTGTTGCATTGTCTTGTTGCCGCGGCTTATGTATATATAATTAAGCATTATCAGCGGCGAATGGAAAACAGCAGATGCCAGATGGGAGGCATACCTTTGACTTGCATACAATATAAATGCCTTTATGCTTTGTATCTTCATTTGTTTGTTTGTTGGTTTTTGGCATTGAACTTTGCTTTGACTTTGAGTCTGGTGCTTTTGAAAGTGTTCAAGAAATCCTAATTAATTATAATATTATAAACATCTTCCATATTGTTAAGGCGCATGTGTGCATGTGTGAGAAAATTCCATTTTGTACATTTTTCACACAATTTACGCTCTTCAGTTGATATTTAGAGCGTGCATTTTGTGGTAATGTCAGCGAAAGTTTGATCTCTATAATCTTTACAAGGTATTCTCTAATTAACGTGTGTGTGAAGATTAAAGTTCGTTTTATTTGTATTATGCATATTTCAATAAATCATAATTTCATAGAAAATTTATATATATTTTTGTATCATTTTTATTTATTTACGTATTTTTATCTATTGCGGTTTTCTAGAAAATCCAACAACAATTCAGTTCAAAAGAAAGAATTTTTTATTATTTTTATAAATTTAATATTCTTTAAATTAGTTATGTATCAATTTATTATAATACGAATTTTATAAAAATACGATATATATATTTTTTGTATAATTATATACTATATATACATAATTTTTTAATTTTCATATAGAATCCTACATCATTTGTATTTAAGAGAAAAGCGTATATTATATATTTATGAATCTTTTTATACTTTATAATATTTTTTATTTATTAATAATTTATTTATTATGCATTTATTCATTCATATATATTCATAACTAGCTTCTAAGCAGTTTTTGTCCATTTCCTCAAGCTGTCAGCCTTTTTTACACATATTCTAATGCTTTAAAATTAAAGCATAATTTTATCTTTAACTTAATTAAAACTCTTGCTAATTTCGACCCAATTCTCAGCGGCTGTCAGCTTGTTTTCATTAAATGTCTTCGTTGAATTTGGTTATAAATCATAGTCTCGTTTGTTGCCTAAGTCTATTGTTTGTTGTTGCTGTCGCTTTGCAGTTCATAAATTTGAAATTGAGCCGGCGCGAAATTGACTTATTTTAAAGCGGGCTAATCTTTTTGCTACTCCGCTAATCGATGAAATTAATAAATAGGGCTTGTGTTGAAAATTTTTGTTTGTAAACAAGCAGCGTGTTGAAATGCTCTTTGTCAATATATGTGTGTGTATGTGTATTGTGTCATGAATTTGTTTGTTTGGCTAATTAAGTCGTCAACAAAAATTTGACAAATTGCTTTACAAATGCCTTGTTGTCCCAGCCAGTTTGTTGCTCAAGACTTTTGTTTGCCCATTTGTCTATTGGCAATTGGCAGCTGCTAAAAAGCAAATGGCAAGCGCAGCATCGCAATTTGTCAATATGCGACTGACATAAATCCATCAATGCATTCGGATACAAAATCAATAGCCCAACACGGTGAAGGCCAGGCAAAAAACTTGCATAATAAATACGAATAAAAGGCAAGCCATTGCAATAAACAAGCGACAGCGCGGCAAACGCAGATCAGCCGTTGCACTTGCTTCTAAGCATAATTACATATTTCGCTTACATGCCGGTTGCAGTTGCACTCGTTGCTGGCCGACTGTGTGGCATGTTAAGCAGCTGTGTGTGTGTGTGTGTGTTTGTGTGGAGCTGGGGCACACATAGTGGCAAAAAAAAAGCAAAGACAAAAGAAGCGCCGCACAAGCGCAGCTTCACATCCGCATCGCTGACTGTTGACTGCGCTGTGGCCGCTGCTGCCTGCCCCATGCTGCTCGCTGCTTTACTGCATGCCCCAACAATTGCTTCATTTTGAGCAAATGAAAAGCAATTTTGATGCAGCAATTATGTGTGCCTGGCTGCCAGGCGCAGCATTCTGTTGTGCTGCAGCAAGTTCGTTGCTTAAGTCTTTTGTTTTGCATATGACAAAAATGTTGGCAGCCAGTGTCAAAGATAGTAGCAGATACAAGCAGCAGCCAGGTGCTCCTTAAAATGCCTTGTAAAAGCAGTGCTTCTGAGCCTACCACAGTTTAGCAGAAATTGTACACCGTTTGACAAGCATTCTTGATCTTGATTATGTAAAATGCAGTTTGATATCTATACAGCGCCCACAATTGCAGGTTTGGCAAGGCACTGTTGGCCATTTGTTTTTTTTTATTGGCATCTTGCAACAGGAAACTTGTTATAGCTGTTGTTCTTATTGGTTTCGATTGCTTATTGTTGTCGCAGCTTTTATTAGAAACATATATAAAATATATACTCATTATCATTAGCCATGCTTAACTTCTGACATTTGCCATCCAGCGGTGCTTTTAGCCAGGCCGAAATGTGAGCTACAGTAAATAAATATGACGCTCTTTTGTAAACGGGTTTGCGATTTAGCCAAATTAATATCATTATAATTTGTTGTGATTTTGCATGGGCGTCCGCCACAAAATTCTTATAGCCACAAAATGTCAAGGTTCTGACAACAACAACAACAAGCAGCAGCAACAAAAACAAGAAGGGACAGCAAAAGCAATTTGCAACAAGCTAAACACTATTTCTAATTACTATTGAATATGAGCCTAAAGCCAAATAAGAGAATCGCTGCCCGGCTGTCTGCGGCTAGTCATGCTCAGGTTGTCCGAAAGTTCAACTTCCCCATACACACACAGGCACACACATACGTAACACAACAACAGCTTGGCAAATGAAAAACAAATCTTTCACACGTTCAGTCTATTGATAGGCAGTCAGAGCTGCTAAGGAGAGAGGTGGTGAGGTGGTAAGGGGGAGA